ACCTTTGAATGTATTGAATTAATTTGTAAAAGCTGTTATGATACAATGTTTGATATTTTATAAAAGCTTTTAGCATATGCAATCAATAAATGTATCAACATTTTTATTTTATTATACTTTTTACCCTGCAAACTTCTTAAAAACAGAATAGTAATGATCCATTTAACTGATACTAGGTTAGTGTCACATTGTACTGGTATATCATGTATACTGAACTGTAAATAAGAAACATCTAAATAGGTAAAATCACAGCATGAATCATTGGATTATGTAAGAAGTGCACTATCTTGTGCTTTGGTATGGTATTAATAATAAATGTTAAACTATCATTTTTTTTTCAAATTAACAAAGGATATGCTTGAGTGACTGTATTTTGACTAGCAGTAAAAATATGATGATTTATAAGCATTTGAATTATTTTGATTCATGGTCTCTGCAAGTTTAATGATAGCAAATATGTATATTGAACATGGCATCCACATATTGCTATACTGGATGGGGCATAACTTTTACTGAATCTTAATCACAACCTTGAAATTTTATGTAGTACATGTACTCTTGGTTTCAACTGATCAAATGTATTCTTAAATCAGAAAGAATTTAAACAAATATAGGCATAGGTCAGAACTTCATCAATTAGTTGGAAAGCGAATGCACTCAGTGACTATATGGTTTAAAAGAAGCTTGGTATAAATAGCAGGAAAAACTACTTGATGTCCACTGTGAACTTTGTGTCCTCAACAAAACAATATGGAGTATACTATACTTGGTCTAAAGAATAATCTATGTCTGCATTCACTTTTAGGTTAAACTGTTTTGGGCATTGAGAGTTTGTTTGTTGTTTAACGTCCCTCTGGAGAATTTTTCACTCATATGGAGATGCCAACACTTGCCGATGGAGAGCTGCAAATGACCTATGCTCGGCACTCAGAGCCAATGGGCAGTGAGGGATCTTTTTCATGCTAGCATCTACTGCGACACTGGACCTCTGTTTGTACGAAGGACCGGTCCTTAAGTCCCACAGTGGGATTCAAACATGTGACAAAAGGATCAACTAACTCCATGACTCTAGAGCATTGGCTCTTTCCACTGCACCACGTGGGCGACAGCATTGAGAGTTAAATGTGGATATCAGAACAAGCTACTCTGGGCTTATACTCTCTATATATTGATTGATTGTATGTTGTTTAACATTCCTCTCAAGATTTTTTCACTCAAATGGAGACACCACCACATGCCGGTGGAGATCTGCAAATTTTGTCCTATATCGGCACTTACGGCCATTGAGCATCGAGGGATTTTTTTCGTGCCAGCACCTGCTGCGACACAGGACCTCGATTTATACGGTCTCATCTGAAGGACCGGTCTCCCCATCCCACAGTGGGATTTGAACCTGCGACGTAAGGATCAACTCCTTACTTCGCTACTCTAGAGCAGACGCTCTAACCACTGCGCCACTGGGGCAACTACTCTCTATTTAAGTCACTTGTGCAATGACTTTAGTTTAATTCAAAGTTTTGTACTGATCATGTTGAGTCACATTAGCACAAATATCTTTCTGCTGACCTTGACTAATGACCATCCGCAACTATTCTGGTTGGAAACGATATGTTAATTAATGCATAATAAGTGAAATTACTATGAAAGAAAAATGGTCTACTTAAACCACAAGTTATATTTATAAAAAATATACACTGGTCTCCTTAAGTCATATGAGAGAAACATAAAATATTAAGGAGACCATTTTTTTCATATATTTTTAGGAGGCATTTATTATGAAAAAATAAAGCAAGAGTCGACTAAATGGTGTTCTATAGATCTTTGATCTGGTATTTCTTTTTAGAAAAAAGCAAATTTAAAAAATTTGTATATTGTCTCCTTAAGCCATATATAATGGTCTGGTCTCCCTAGTCCTTAAATCAGAGTTTTATATATATATATATATATATATATATATATATATATATATATATATATATATATATATATATATATATATATATATATATATAAAGCACTAAAAACCAACAACACTGTATATCCTAAGTGTCGGATCTACTAAGTAGATACAAGGTCACGGATGGAAATTTATACAAAGCACTAAAAATGACCAACGACACGAACAATAATAATTGTCAAATTTTCGGGACAACCTGTCCCTTCCTCAGGACAAAGAAAAAAGTTAAGAAGTCATAAAAACAAAGGAAATAGAGAAGCAAAAACAACTAGCACTACTACTAAACTACCAAACACTTAATATTTACAAGGTTACATGTTTAATTTGGAGTTTATAAACAGTTGTGAACAAAGAAATCCGGAGCGCTATGAATTGCGTCCGGTCTATCGGGTGTACTCGGTGAAGTGTGATTTACATAATTGAACGAATTAATTATCGCTAATTAATTACGGCCAACAGTAAATCGTACATTGTCTTATTCTCTCAAAATAGCGTAACTCTACATGATAAAAAGAAATTAAAGAAAGATAATATGGAAGGACAATTTTGAAATATGAATTTGGATATATTATAAATTTGGAAATCGGAAAAAAGAAATAAACAAAAATGTGAGCTGTAAATATTTGGGTAGGTTGTTCCAGGATTATTAATACGAATTAACGGTAAAGTTTACGCTATATAGAGAGAATGAACTTGTTTGTTACAATTCGGGATTGGGTCTAGTTCACGTTCATCCTGGTGAAGTCATTAAGTTTGTTAATACCATTAGGGCGGAATGACTTCAGCCTGTGCATCCAGAACTTTTCCTTGCCTTTTCTCTGCGCGTCTGTCCATCTTGGATTATGGTCAATAACCACTACTGTCATGTCCTCCCATTTGTGACCTTCAAGGTTGAAATGTTCCCCAACGGGTTCATTGAGTTTTTTGGTCCTAATGGTAGAACGGTGATTATTGACTCTCCTGCGGAGATCTCCTGTTTCACCAACATACTGTTTGGAGCAAACTTTGCAGCTGATGAGATAAATGCAGTTGTCTGTTTGACAGGACAAATTCCCTAGTATTTTGTAGCTGCGGCCTGTAACGGGGCTGTTAAAACTGTCTGTGTCAGAGCTGTACTTACAGAGAAGACATCTTCTGTCAGAGCAAGTTTTAAAGCCCCCGTTAGGTAATGGATTGTCCAATCTGGTTCTTACTACCATGTCCTTCAGGTTCCTCGGGCGCCTGTATGCAGCCAATGGGGGCTCCTTAAAGACCTCTGCCATTCGTTATAAGGCAGGGGATGAACAGATGCGCCGAATTCTGGTGGCTAGACCCTTAGGCACACCCTTAAATGTGTGCGGGGGATGACAGCTAGTTGCATAAGATACAGATGGGAATCTGTGGGTTTCGTGTGGAGACTGAACTCGATTTCACCATCAGTCAGGGTAGATGTAGTATCTAGGAATATGTTTTTCGAATTAGATACGTCTACTGTAAATTTGATAGACTGATGAAAGGTGTTGGCGAACGAAATGAATGCCTCGAGGCTCTCGCGACATTCCACCCACTTCATCTCTATATCGTCAATGAAACGCAACCAGCTAAGGGGCCTAAATGGTGCTTGAAGTAGCAAGTTGCGTTCCAGTCTGCCCATGAAAATATTGGCATAAGATGGTGCCATTTTCGTACCCATAGCAGTGCCATTAACCTGCAGGTAATGTTCTCCATTAAACATGAAGTTGTTATACTTGAGAACATGTTCAAGGAGCTTGGCAAGGGACCCGGTAGAAGGAATTTGTATGGATCTACTATCCCAGACTTCTCTACAGGCTTCGATACCCTCATCGTGCGGAATATTGGTGTACAAAGATGTGACGTCCATAGTCACGAGAAGGGTATGATCTGGAAGGCCAGTAGAGGGCGTCTTGTTGATGTAGTCCGTGGTGTCCTTGAGATAGGATGGCAAATTCTCTACGTGTGGACGGAGATGTAAATCGATGTATTCAGAAATTTTCTCCGTGGGGTGTCCAATAGCGCTAACTATAGGGCGACCTGGCATACCTTCTTTGTGTATCTTAGGAAGCAGATAAAATTGTCCTGGTCTACAGTCAATAGGATTGAGTGTCTCATAGACGTTGATACCAATCTCGTTTTTCTCAAACATTTCGTCAAGAGTTTTGGTGATGGCGGTGGAGAATTCTTTAGTGGGGTCAGAGTCCAGTTTCTTATAGAAACGTTCGTCTGAGAGTTGTCTATAGGCCTCCGCCATGTACGTCTTTTTGTCAAGCACTACTACTGTAGAGCCTTTGTCTGCTTTCTTGATTACAATGTCATCCCGATTCTTTAATGATTGTAAGGCGGATCTCTCTTCCTTACTCAAATTGTCGGGAGCCTTGTCTGGCATTGAAAGGAGTTTCTCTATGTCTGACTCCACGGCGTCAATATACGACTCAAGGGCTCCGCATTTGCCCGGTGCAGGTTCCCAGTCACTTTTTGGCCGATAGAGTTTGTGTTCCTCTAGGTCGTGCAATTGTGGCTGAGAAGAGTCATATGAGTCAATTTCGGAGTTTTTTCTAGAAAAATGCTCCTTCAACCGAAGTCTCCGAAAGAAAGCTCGGGTGTCCTCTCTGACTTGTTTTTCGTCGACCTCATGTGGCGTGGGACAGAAATTTAGCCCCTTGGAAAGAAGTGAGGTCTCCGATTCGGAGAGAGGAACACTAGATCTATTGAGCACTGGGCAGACGTCAGGAGTTTGTGAGGGTCCGTCCCTCGCGATTGTCGTTAAGCGCTTGAAGCGTCTCGAGCTAGTGTTTGGTAGTTTAGTAGTAGTGCTAGTTGTTTTTGCTTCTCTATTTCCTTTGTTTTTATGACTTCTTAACTTTTTTCTTTGTCCTGAGGAAGGGACAGGTTGTCCCGAAAATTTGACAATTATTATTGTTCGTGTCGTTGGTCATTTTTAGTGCTTTGTATATATATATATATATATATATATATATATATATATATATATATATATATATATATATATATATATATATATATATATATAAAATCACAGATATGCTTATAAGATAACAATTGTTATAAATAACTCAAAGAAGATTATTATAAAATTCAAAATTTAAAATACATCACAGACACTTGAAGGACGCCAACTGTTTCATTATGTCTTTTTCAACATCTGTTCTCTGAAACACGAATACGCACCATATGGAGATAAATAAATGGCTTGTTAAGAAGAGGTATAGACAAATTCAAAATTCGAAATTTTCTGCATGTTTATGACTAGAGCTGCTCCGTCTTTTACTTCTACCACTGGGTGGAAATTTTTCGGCATCTTCTACACAACCGTGACTTCCGAAAGCGTCAAGTAAGGACTTTAATTCCTTGCTACATTTCATCAATTCCTTGTTTCCTATTAAAACCAAAATTATTAAAACATTTATAAACGAAAGAAATGTAGGTAGTCAACTTAGCACTATTAACTGGCCTTACCTATGATAATCAGCCCTTTCTTAGCTCTGGTAAGAGCAACGTTAATTTGATGAACATCCGTGATGAATCCAAGGTTTTCAATGCAACAACCTTTTGTAGGATTAGGCTCAATTCTATAGTGCGGAAGAGATCTCACCAAGCTAAATATTACGTAATCCCATTCGCCTCCTATAAAAAAAATATAATACAAAAAGCTATAATGATTAGATGGCTCAAAGAAAACCATACTTTTCCGAAAAGTATTTTTGTCTTACCACACAATTTTTTTTTGTCTTACCACACAAGTTTTTTTTCCTTGCAGGAATACATTCAAGCATCAAGTCTAGATTAGATATGTTTGACCAAAAACGAAAATTCCCCCTTCCAAAACGATTTTGTTATGTCTTAAATCAAAATCATATATATATATATATATATATATATATATATATATATATATATATATATATATATATATATATATATATATATATATATATATATATATATATATATATATATATAAACTAGAATGTTCCAGGGAACGCTTGTGTCGCCTGCTTTGTAACTTCATTAAAGGTGTAAATAAATCCAAGAGTGGTCAGCTTTTGTTTACTATAAGCAAGTCTGATAGACTGATAGTTTATGCATTTGCCTGAAAAGAAAAAAATAGCATAGATGGATAGTATAAGAGTTCGATAGAATCTGATAATCAAAGAAAATATGGTACCATAACTCTCAAATGAATAATTAAGTTGAAATTATTAGAAATAACTATTTGTCATTTTATTAATACGCGTTTCTTACAATCCTCCATAAGAGATTTCAGTCTGTCTTTACTGCAATTGCGAGTCTTCACGATCCATTGTTGAATACCGATCCCGATGTATTTTTATGGTATTTAAATCTGTTTATGTGGTAACTGAATAGCAAACAGTTTCAGACTACTTTTTCATGAGCTAAACGTGTTTTCAATAATCATTCAAAAGAGATTTCAGTCTGTCTTTACTGCAATTCTCAGTCTACACGATCCATTGTGGAATACAGATCCCGATGTATATATATATATATATATATATATATATATATATATATATATATATATATATATATATATATATATATATATATATATATATATATATTGAATATAAGTTTGTCTGGTAACTGAATATCATACGGTTTCAAAGTACCCTATCATAAGCTCATAAACATGTATAAATGCTAATTTTCTAAACCCTGCCTCTCAAAATTCAAAAATCATAGTTTAATTAAACTGCCCGAGTTATTTTTTTTTGTGCAAAGTAGGTCAAAGGTCAAGGTCAAGTGGATTATAATGCTGGTATTTTTCATATTGTATTATGACAAACAGTTCACATGCTAAATAGTATAGACTTACCTCCTAAATGTCAAAATATGCTGTATATCGGCACTATGAATAATTGTGAAGAGGAGGTCAAAGGTCAAGGTCAAAGGTCACGAGGTCGGTAACCATGGTAATTTACAAATGCCATAGTGCCAAGCATTATATGTGCAAAATATTAAATCCATATCTCTTACAGTTCTTGAGATATAAATGTCTGACAGACGGACAGACAGCTAGACGGACGGACAGACAGACGCCAGGTAAAGTGATCCCTTATTGCCGCTCTGCTCTGCAGGCGACACAAAAAGCAGCGAATAAAAACATGCAAGAGTTATAAAACAATTTTAATCGACCGTTTAAAGTTAATTTATCTTTTGTACCAAAAGTTCAGTAACCTAGACTTTTGATATCTGATATTGAATCATGGTCATTGTGCATCTTTAGGTCGTCAGAAACACCAAATTTAAACTTGAATACAATCAAAATTGAAGTCATCCGAATGGCTTCGATATATCCCTCGGAGGTACAATGAAACATACATTTCATTAAATGCCCCATATATGAAAGTTTGTACGGATATGTGATATTAACCCATTTGATCTATGAATGGAGGTACAACAGGGGGAAAATGTGTATGGAAAGTGATTGAAATGCAGTCCTTAGCATCTAGACATACACACGAACGGACACGTTTATTCCAGTATATTCATCATATAACATCGCTGCGGGTGGTATAATTTTTTTCTCAAATTTTTAGCCTGTATACAATTTTAATATTTCACTACTAAGTAATCCTGGCATTTGACATATAACCTTGATTCAAACACATAATGCGTCTTTCGATTATAAGCAGCAATACTCTCAAGTTTCTATTCAAAGGTTCTAGAGTTAAAGTCCATAAACTATTCAACTATTTCAGTACCCTTGACCATAAAACGTGACATTGAATCACTATCAACACAATACATACAGACAGATATACATGCTCCATTCAACTATGATCAGAATCGCTTGCTCTTGTGGCTCACTTGCGCTACAATATCAGCTGATAGGACAGACTGCCAGAAGGACAAGTAAAGTTATTGCTTAATCCCATTTACGTTGTAAGATTGGAGCAAAAAAGCAATAGTTACATGTACCTTGACTTGCAATGACCGTATTCACAGGACATTTCTAAGCTCCTGGACAATTTTGCTACATTGAGCATTATACAGCGACACAATGTTTATCTTTTCTGGTGCTACACCTCCCCGTTTCACCGTATGTCTGAAGACTTTTATCTGAAAATAATTATTTTATATTGCTTTACACAGTTTAACGCAAATAGAGTAAACAAATAAAAAGCATTTAATAACATTATTAGTTTGATAAATTCATTTTAATTATTGAATCCAGACTTACCACTTGTGCAACCTCCATCATATTAAATCGTGACATTTCTTTTCCTTCTTCAGTGGTAAACGATAAATATTCTTCAACGCCCTCTAAGTTACAGAACACCATGGGGTATTCTGCATTGTGCCACATTGTCAAATTGTCATTTTTCCAATTTTCTTGACTTTTAGTTTTAAGTTTGTTTTTGTAGAACAATCGCGATGGAAGCTCGCACAAATTGTGATGCTACAATGCACAATATTTTATTAAAGGTATCGAAAAGAAAAAAGGAATTGAAGACTATTGAAAACTTTTACACCAGATATGTATTTAAATAATAAAATCTCATGTGACTGATAACAATGATGAAAAGGTTAAAATAGATTAAACCTAGAAACATGTATATGTAAATTGTACTCGCCATTCTATATTGTTGGCTGAGAAAAGTGAGTGTTTTCAGTTTAGGATCGGCATATCTTTCAAACAAGGATTTTTGCAGGCCAAGTTCTGCAGCTTCTTCTTTAGATAATAATGGGTTGAAGTTGTTTATGATCCCCTATCAAAACAACTTGTTTTGCCCCTGTTGCAATAATTGCTGCCATGCACCCGGGTTCTGTGCACATGCCAGCCTCATCTATTAATAGTTGGTAAATAGATCCTTTTATTACACGAAGGAGCCGGGCACTAGTTGCTACAGAGGTAGGCATAGAATTACATCATATTCCGGAATTTCTTCATTGATCGCATTCCTCAAACATTCCTGATAGTTAGCAATATCTTTGTGTTCAAAATTGTTTGTTTTAAATTTTTCGTCGAATGATTTTAGTCTGCTCGCATAAGGTTTTATTGGTTTCCTTACAACGTGATGCAATGTCAATCTCTTATTTTCTTTTTCTGGTGCTTGTTCCAATTCCTTTGATGTAAAAACCTTTCCAGGAAAGTCTTGGCACTCCATGGCTGTTGAATACATCCTCAGTACTTTAAGGAAACCGCCGCACATTTTCGCTAAATAACCTATTAGAATATATCAACACTTCACTAAATATATATCTATATGTTGTGTTGCAAAATAGACTTAAATAAGTACCAAATACCTAAGGTACATGAATTGCTTGAATAATCGACATTTAATTAGATAAGAATTTTTGTCTGAATGTCTTCTCCACTTTATCTTTAGTGTGCATTGCATTGAAATTATGATGCAGTTATCGATTGTGATGCATTTCTGGAACAAAGATCTGAACAACTTGCATCAAAATTACAAGACAATTTTTTTTTTTAATTAGAACAAAAATTTCAAATTTCAGGGAGACTTGAACCCGTTTTTGTTCAGCCCATATCAATTTCCAATAATTATAATGTATGAAAATATTTTAACCTTTCTGTTTGCTTTTACTCACAAATCTGTACATTTAAAAATCATATGTGGGAAGGAAGAATGTTTTATAAATTATTACAAATTATACACTAGCACTAATGAAATATGTTCTTTCAAATTTCGAGAGCAAATTTAATAGAAATTTTATAGAAAAAAAATCTTGAAAACATGGATTATTGCAGGATGAATATTGCCCATTACCTGTAACTACATCCACAGATTTGTTGGAAGGTCCACTAAACACAACATAGTTTTTCTGTGCTCCCCTGTCTTTTAATGTCTTATTTATCTTACAGAACAGCTGCAGTAAAGACACTCCTGTAAGTGTTTTTCTTGCTCCTAATGATCGAGAGGGAAAAATTATTCATTTTCTTTGTTTTATATCATCCTAAATGTTCATGAAAGCATCACACATCAATGCACGAAAATTTCTTACTTTTTACCTGGAGGACCTTGTATCAATGAAAAACGTGATGTAAATGCGTTCTTTATGGCATTTTCTTGATCTTTATTGTGAGTGATACGATACGATATCCCATATCTATGTATGCTATCAATTTCTCCTTCCTTTTTATGGGCACGATCTGTAAATCAATAATATGTGCAATAAAAATCAATGTAAACTTAATCTATTTCATTTTGAGGTTTAAAGAGTTACCTAATAAAACTCTATAGAGACTGACAGAGTATTTTGTTGAGGTTCAAATCATTCTTTTGAATATTTTTTTGTATTAATAATTTTTTTACTCGCAACCTTTCTTGCAGTCGATCATGTATTATATCTTATGTTTGACTAAGCCAATTCACTTACAATATTGCCACTTGTTAGCTCAACTGAGCCGAAGGCGCAAGTGAGCTTTTCTAATCAAAAGATGTCCGTTGTTTGTAGTCGTGGTTGTCGTCATTGATTGGCCAATTTCAACCAAACTTCGCACAGAGTACCGTTGGGTAAAGGGGATTCAAGTTTGTTTAAATGAAGGTTCACACCATCTTCCAAGGGGAGAAAATTAAGAAAAAGTAAAAATCTTCTTCCCAAGAACCACTGGGCCAGAAAAGATAAAACTTATATGAAAGCTTCCTGACATAGTGAAGATTCATTTGTTCAAATCATGGAACTCGGGGTAGGGTGGGGCAACAATGGGCGATCAAAGTTTTCCATAGGAAAAATCTTTAAAAATCTTCTCCAGAACAGTAAAGCCATAATTATTCATATTTATATGGAAGCATCCTCAGTTGTTTACATTCGAGTTTTTTTTCAAATCAAGACCCCCAGGGGTAGGGAGGGGCCACAATGGGTGATCAAGTTTTATATGGGAATGCATAGGATAAATCGTAAAAAAATCTTTTTCTCAAGAACAACAACGCAATGATTAGTCATATTTATATGGAAGCATCCAAAGTAGTGTAGATTCAAATTTATTTAAATCATGACCCCTGGATGTAGGGTTGGACCACAATGGTCAATCAAATTTGTATAGGAATTTATATAAGGAAAAATCTTCTAAAGAACAACTTGCCATGATAAGTAATATTTATATGGAAGCATCGCCAGGTAATGTTGCTTTAAACTTTTCAAATCATGACCCCCTGGGGAAGGGTGGGCCCTAAATAGGCGATCAAAGTTTTACATTGGAATATAAAGGAACTATCTTCAAATATCTTCTTCTCCTGAACAGAAAATCCATGATTATTCACATTAATTCAGAAGCATCTTCAGGTAGTGAAGATTCAAGTTTGTTCAAATCATGTTCCCTGGTGGAAGGGTGGGGCCACAATGGAAGATCAAACATATAGAAAAAAGTCATCCAAAGCCTTGATTAGTCAAAGAAATAAGGCAGAAGCGTCCTCAGTTAGTGTATAATCAAGTGTGAACAAATAAAGCCCCCCCTTTCGACTGTTAAGGGGGGGGGTATTTGTGATCACTTCTATATTTAATCTTTTCAATACTACACTGATTTCTGCTTTTCAATGTGCTCAGGTGAGCGATGTGGCCCATGGGCCTCTTGGTTTTTTTTTTTTTTTTCTATGATCAGGACAGTTTTGTGAGCTTGACTGTTCAAGATTTAGAATGTTCATTATTTAACTATGTGGTGATAGTACGTTTCAGTAGATTCTGAATTGACTTTTCGGATCCTAGAGTATTAATTTTTCAATTTAGTAAGCACTTAGCAGAGGTCATTCATTCTCCTTAATTTGCACTTGTATATCTAACTTTAATTTGAATGCTTTCAGAAAGTTACAACAATTCTTATGTATTAACAGTTTTTTTAACCAATCTCTTAGCTTTTTTGACAAAGGTAATTATATATGAGATAAGGTATATTTAAACTTCAAATTCAGTAATTCTTTAGAAAAAGCTATTTAAATGTCATCATACCATTACTATGACACTTTTCTTATTAGTTTTAGTTAGCATCCCTCCCTTCGAGAATTTTTCACCCACAAAAAAATGTCACCATATACTGGTAAAGGGTTGCAAATTTAGACCTATGCTCGGCACACAGGGCCATTGAGTAGTGAGGGTTGTATATCGTGCCAACGCCTGCCTCGGTTTTTAAGGTCTCATCCGAAAGACCAGTGACTTACACTTTTAGTGCCGGTGTAAAGACGAATAATGACCCCCATAGAATAATGACCGAGGGGTAATTTTTCAACGACAAATAGAAAAAATTGATTTTTTTGTAGAAAAAGAGTCCCAGGGGTCATTTTTTTTATGTGTGCGTCCTATAAAAAAATTGACCCCCGTTGAAAAATGACCCCTTTTCCAACAGAGTACATGATTCAAAATTTATAACAGGTGATTGATGCCAAAGTTTGAACCTCAATGTTTAATATTCTTCTTTATCCCCTCTTTGACCAACACTGGACGATCTCGCAATTAAAATGCAATAAAACAGCATTATATTTACATGCATATTTCTATCTTTTAAGCTTATTGTGTTCTCGGCACAAACTGAAAATCGCAAAATCGCTACTATTGGTCATAACTCTTGACGTAATTTCCCTTTATGACAGTCTTCAATTTGTTTGATATTTGGATATTTGACTGATTATAGACATTCATAGCTAGCTAAATAACAAAAAAGCGGGATGTTCTGACTTTTCATTGGTAAACATGTCTCCCAAAGTAATCAGCAGGCTTTGAGTAGGATTAACTCAGGTGACCAATTGCTATCCGTTTTTGTCCGTCGGCGTTCGTCGTGCATTTAAACGTTTTTAGCTTCTTCTCTAAAACCGCTCAACCAATTTCATCCAATTTTAGCATATAGCATCTATGGATGAAGGGAAACAAAACTTGTGAATTTCATGGTCCCTGTCCCCCTGGGGCCTGAGGGGTGGGGCTAAAACCACCAAAATTAATGCAATCTTTAAAAATCTTCCTCTTTACTCCTGGACATCAAGCAGTCAAACTGTTGGCATCATTGTAATAAGTATTGAGCCCTCTACCAAAATTGAAAAATTCAAGGCCCCAGGGTCAGGGGTTGTGGTGTTAGGGTGGGGCTATATACATCATATAGTGATAGTGCATTATTTCTTTGAAAATCTTCTTCTCTGCTCCTGGGCATGAAATAAACTAACTAAGCACATAGTTATGATGAGCAAGAGTGCTTCTACTGAAATTGCAAATTCCATGGCCCCTGGATCAGGGTTTCTGGTGTTAGGGCGGGGCTCTATTGATTATATAGTGAAAATGCACTAAATCTTCGAAAATCTTCTACTCTGCTCCTGGGTATCAAATAAACTAACTAAGTACATAGTTATGAAGAGCAAGAGTGCCTCTTCCAAAACTGTGAATTTCATGGCCCCTGGGTCAGGGGTTCTGGTGTTAGGGCGGGGCTCTATTGATTATATAGTGAAAATGC